TACGTTTAAAAGAGCATTGGTTAAGTCAGAAGGGGAGGGGACACCAGCCGATGCGTTACAAAATTTCTTGTACGTCTGTCGAACAACACCAAATGAGTTGTTACCGGAGCAAAAGTCCCCAGCAGAAATCCTGATGGGAAGAAGACTGAAAACGATCCACAGCCTGATGCATCCGACTAATGCACCAACATCAGTAGAGACTAAATCAGAAAGGCAATCCATGTACGAAGTGGGATGTCCTGTGTTTGCTCGTGACTACAGACCAACCCATGGTCCTTGGACAGCAGCGCGAGTGGTCAGAAGAGTTGGGCGATTTATGTATAAAGTAGATGGTCACGCCAGTGAAATCAAATACGTAAACGGCTAGCCTCTGACTGCCCATCAGCAGGAGTAAATCTTCCCCTTGACATCCTGCTTGATGCCTTCAGACTACCGACACCCACACCACGAGAAGAAACGCAACAACAAACTGACCTCCGTTCCAGACGGTATCCTCTCAGACAGCGGCAAACAACATTCAGGATGATGGTCGACCCCAGGAACGTACGCTATTAGAAAGGGGAGGAGTGTTGGGGACGTTAGATCCCCAGAACTCACTTGAAAAAGGTCCTAATTTTGAATTTTTTGTGGTTGCGCGCATAGAACGCTTAGTTACCCTTGAGCTTACATTTACCACTCGGAAAACCTTTGATCGTCATTGGTTGATGGATTATTTTAGTACACTATTTTGTGGCTCTTACCAAGGGTGTTTCTATCATTGTATAAATAAACTTCAGTTACGTGCTTAGTAACCTCGTATTTCTGAATGCCTGTGGAGTACACTCTCTACGCCTAATCAAGACTTCCTGCTCTAGTTAGTGGTGCCTGGGACAATCGGATTAGAATAGCTTATCGTGTCACTGCATCATTGATCTTCGTTCCGTTTACCGAATAAAGTGAAGTCGTAATAGTTTCAAGCATATCAAGTTGAGTTTCATTTGAAAAATTATTTTCATTTTCTAGCTATCCAAAACTATCCAGAACTATATTTAATGGTGATTTGACATTTTCGTCTCTTCTACTCTTGCTTACTCATTTTCGTTTCAAGAAAATATGACCTTCAGACAACCTTGGTCGTTTGTCATAAATATTGATAGATTTTTATTTAAAAAGACTGTTATTGTCTAGCCATAAAGATAACTGATTTCGAATCAATATATCTGTGTAGAATTTTGAGTTATGAAATAAGCATTTAGCTCACAATCTATTACATGAAATTATCTTAGGAAACGAAGATCTATATATTTAGTTCTATTTCAAGCTACTTCAAACAACTATGAAATGTAAGGCGCAAGTTCCATCCTACTTTGGAATCCTCAGGTCGACTTACCAGCATTCCAATATTCATGTAATGTGCATACTAAGACTCGAATTTAGTACATATTACTTCAAACATCAACACGTTTTCCCCTGATATGCTAAGTCCAAATAGTTGCCAATTTGTTTGACAAGTATAAAATTATTTATCGTTATTTATATTCAGGACTGCAGCTGATCAGATACAACCAAATTACTCTAAAACTTATGGTTAAAGGGCTATATTGAGGGCATTCCAGTGAAAAATTAAAAATCCTTAAGTTTAGGGCCTCGAGTGCCCTCAGACTTATGAGAGTATTGAAGATCCACTCTCCGTCTCGAAATTGAATTGTGTATATAACCACTGTCAGAGGAATTTTTCTCACTGCTTTCTCGTGTTGGAAGTGCATTTTGCGAAATCGAGAGGGTGAAAAGCAGATATCTGGTGTAGCTTAAAAATGGATTGATAGGTACGAAGGATCCACCTATGGGAGTTGGAAAACCCTGATTCCAAACTGATAGTGCACATGGACTCCAGAAGCCTGAAGAAACAAATGGCACATGAGTCTGTTTCTTCGTCATCGGCTACCATGTGACTAGATCTCCTTACGTTGTTCCAATGCCTTGTGGATTAGACCCGTAGATCAAAGGCTCGGGGAGTGACTTCTTGAGAGGAACAATGCCCCCGGTTTGTGGATCTAAACAGTATCCCAACCCACATACAAATTCATTGATTTGTGTGGCACATAAATATTTAGTTGTCCCTTTAAACCAATAATTATGTATTTAAATAATGCATTTCAGGTTAGTACCATTTGTTAGTTAAGCATAGAACATGATCCATAGAGATTATATATTATTCAAACGTAAGAATCTTTGTGTTCAAACTGATAATATGAAATCACGCCATATGTTACATGCGATGAGTTTCGTTTCTCTTTATACATAGATTTGTTCAGAGTTACATACATTTATTCATTCACTAACTTTGAAAATTATCGGAACCTACTGTCTTACTTATATTTAACATAAAACAATGCTTATTCACACTGATTATTACCAATATATATAAGCTACACAAAGTGAATTGACAATATTTTTAAATAAGCATGAAATGGGAAATTATGCAAAAATATAACCATGTTACACTTCGAGTAAACATTGTAACTAAGCTAGATTTTATTCGATTAGAAGATAGAACCCATTGTTATTATTACACAAACATCACTGGTAGCATCTACTCTGAACTGTAACCGACATAATCTCAAGCTAGTTAGATATACGATCTCATACAATAAGTTGTAGTGAGCCTTCATTCCACTGATTATTGTGTCATAAACTGTTCGTTTCTTTTTTTTCTTTTCTTCATTCAATCACATCAACACCAAATAATGTTTAATGCAAAAGCTTATTAGGACAACATTGTATATCATGTTTTCATACTACTGAACTCGATGTTTCAAAGTGGCAATATGTATTAAAACACAGTTATTTCATTTTGTTTATACACTGCTTTATCCGTAGGAATATTAGCGAAATAGCCGCTCCTAGGACTGGCTTATGGATTTTTATTATATATATTCTCACTATATAATTATTAAATAACTAGATTATTACATATTCATATACCTTTTAACTGACCTATTAACTAATTCTTTATGATATACTATTTCCAATCTTCTGCCATAAACATAAACTATCTATGCCTGAAATACAGCGAGTTGTGTGGAGGCTGGCTTCGAACTTCTGGACTGAGAGGCAGAGTAGAGGAAAAGAAGCCATTGGGTTTTGGACAAATAAAAATTTTGATCTGACTTAAGGGTACTGGTGCTAAACGTAGTTCTGATTGGTGTTTATATTTGTTACGTGATATTGCACAACGGTTAAGAATACAACATTTGCCATCTGCGTTTAATGCATAGGTGTCTATGGCGGATATATTTTAGATGTACTTCTACTGATTGATGTATAATCAAAAATTCCTTCACCAAGGTATTTACAGATACCATTTAAGGGTAAACTAAAAGATTTTTACAAATATAAGTCAGCAAAATGTTCTTTATGGTGATCATATTTTATTGTAATTCACTTTTATGTGATTCCTTAGTGCGTATGGTTTTGAACCCATGGATGGTCTGAAATGATGAAATAATATCAATCTTATTTATTCCTCATAGTCTAAAATGACCCACCATCTTAAATCAACTTTTCATTAAAACAAAGCTTTTTAGGTTATTCTAATAAAAAAAGGAGATTAGATAAAATACTCAGAATTTAATGTTTTCTTACATGTAGGTTACTCAAAACTTGAATGTAAATATATCTAGCTGGTAAAACGCTGTTATATTTGCATTTATTTGCCCTAAAGAAGTGACATGCATTAAGTCCCTAAACATCAGAAATACAGACTTCAACTCATTGGATCTGAGATGGTGGAAAAATTTGTAGCTCAGGTGGATGATTGTGGTGGTGTTTCGTTCTCTGAGTTGAATGTTTTGGTTGTGGAGCTTTCATTATTCTTCTGAACAACATCGTAAGCACAAACTTCAGATAGGATTAAAGCATTCGAATTTCTCCGCAACAAAAACATCCAGCTCAGAGAACGAAACACCACCACACTCACTGGGTTATCACAAAAAAATTATAATCATTTTATCGTCATTAACTTTCTACTCAATGCTCTATTTACTTGAAACCTTAATATTGAGACCTATACTTTATTCTTGTTTCAAACTACTCTCCGTTCAATATCGGTTCTATTGAATGCCTCCAAGAACCTCTCAAAGGCGTATTCAAAGGCCAGGAAAAGGTCGGATACCATTTCGTCCAATCATTATCAATAAAAACCTAGAAACGTTTAGGAAATAAACAATTCTGTCTCACACTAATTAGATAACTGAATATTTTTTTAAACTAAATTTAGGATGTTTATAAAAGTTCTCAAGACTTCGGACTTGTTCATCGATTTATCAATATCGTTTTCTCTTCGAAGTAAGCTTTTTTTCTTACCTAATACTTGTTCTCTATTGTTCGTGAAAGGTGTTTACGGATTCCAAGGACTTGGGAAACGTCTAAAAAGTGATTATCAAGTGTTAAAGCGAATGGTGTATCAACTTATTTGTATTCAAATAAATGTATGATCATTCACTGCATGAGAACATTGTTCTTGTTCTTTTGGAATCGATACTAAGTGTACAGTAGGATATTTACATAAAACATAAACCAAATATATACTTTCATGCTATTCAAATGCACTGGTATTCGTTTCATGTCAAAAGTTAATCGTATTTTGAACAGTTGCTAGCATTAAAATCTATAATACACGTGTTGACCTCTTTTGGACACATGCTGGCTGGATATACTCCTGCATTTTGGTGTTAATGTTCATACTGATGCTTGAATCTAGTTTTTACCAGTTCGAATCCCCGTGTGTTTACTCTTAGAATATAAATCATTAAATGTAGCTGCATTAATATCACTATAATATATTGTAATTGAAATTTAATTACAAAAATTGAAGTCAAGTATACTGTTATTCTATTGTTACAGTGCTCGCTATAACTTACCATATTTTCATTAATTATACTCTTAACTTTTTTTAATGCTTACTAATAAGTGTTATACATAAAAGCTAATTTCAGTTCTATGTTTGTCTACTTTTATAGAACCGTTCCAATCCACATATGATTGATGTATGCGGTGAAATAATTTTACAAATATGTCAACAATTACCTGGTATGTTGATCTGTCATTTTCTGAAGAGAAAAAAATTGACTTATTTTTAACTAGTCTTTCTGAGTTGCGAAAAATATAACTGTATTTCATATTATGAATTGACATTTATGTAGTAATCAATGTAAACTGAAAGAGTATTGATGAATCGTTATTTGGTCCCATTTTAGAACTCCGCAATATTTAAGATCGAATCTTTGATCTTCTGGTCTCGGACGTCATTAGCCTGAAAAAAACCTTAGAGAAATCTAGCTAAGGTGAAGAAATTATTAATGAGTGATTGAATTTGATATTGAGACAGGGCGTATTAACTCTTTTCTTCTTTTTATTATTTAAGCTAATCATGTTTATTATACAGTGTTGTTGGAAGTTGCTTGAATCCTGATTTTCGTATTACGGGTTATATCACTGATGAAATCTTGGATCTGCAATTCTGAAAAATCTTATATGTTAGTGATTTCATTGTGATGTTATTTCGTGGGATAAATTTTAATGACTATCATGAAGTCGAAAAATTAAAACTCTACAAATCTATCTATGATTTATTCACTTAATTACACGCAAATCTCTTCTTATAGTGCAGTTCTTTCTTAAGTAGATGTAAAACGACTTTACCCTCTGTAACTTGGTGTATGTAGATTAGTTTAGTTTAAATATTATAAATTTCACTGAAAACCTCTGGTTTCCCACAATGAAAAAAATTCTTTGAACTGTATGATGTGACCGATCAAGACTCGTATTGTGAATATTTTGGATTGAGTAAAGAATTATCAGGTTTTTAATAATGAACAGTCACTGCCTAGGGAATCCTATCGACTGACTATTTTTTTATCAGTTAGAAAATGTTTAGGAAGCATCTAAAGGGCATCGCCGAATCAATCTGCGTATAGTAAGAGTAGACTAGTATCACTGTCATGAATACTATACCATGAGGTTTGTAAGATGACGCATATTAATAGCTAAGACTTCAATATACTGCGTTCCATAATAAGCCGTAAGTTTACCAATAGGAGTAGCTGACCAAGGTTAGGCCTTTCGCTCTGACTGTTTTTACCTTGTAGTGGTTATCTGTTTTTGTAACCTTCACATCACGTGACCAATTTATTGCAGCTGAAGTATTTATAAAATCATGACTCATGCATGTTTGTCTGATCCAAGCCGTGACGTCTCTATGGTCAGAATTGGTGCGTGGGTGGATGTCGGGTTTTATAGGCCTAATCATATACTGTTGTTTGTTATAGCTAGTATGTGAGTAGTATGTTAGTTAACCTTTAGCCTATATTTTGGAAATTTTCTTGTCATTGAGATATAATTATGCAAAAATAGAATCAACTTTCGTAAGGTCCTTTTTTAGCATGCATTCCATAGCCAGTGCTTCTTTGTTCGAAACATTTTAGAAGTCATTTTTTACATTCAAAATAAGGTGCATGACGTTTTCATAGTGTTATAATTTTTCATGACGAGTGGCTACAATAACGCTTATAATTCTTTTTTAAAGTACTTGTTCAACTAATATATTATTGAGTAAATATTGACAAAAGTCAAAATCATTGAAAACTTCATGATCATTCACTTTAACTATAAATGAAATAGAAAGATGTGAAGATATTGCTATGTATAGGTTTAGATACTTATTCATTGTGATTTGAAGATTACAGCATTGTTTTTAACTGTGTTAATAATCAAGATATGCTTATTCAATTTATATTAATTTTCAGCATGAACTGACTTCGCCGATTACATAGATAATTGAAACCTCAAACTACTAGTTCTTTAGTTTACGACTAAAAAACATATATATGTACTCTAGAATAGACATTCTTTCAGTTCTTATGACTATCATGATATCTACCATTCAGTTATTTTGTAAAAATATAACCATTTAAATTTTCTAACTACAACTATAATTTTGCACTTTATTGGTATCATTGAAATGAATAGCTATTTTATTTTCATCTTGCACCAAAACATTTTACATAGAAATAAAAGAAATATCCATCCATATTGATACTAACAACTTGAGCGTAATGAAGTAACTCTACTGATTTGTCTAATCTAAATGAACATGTCTGAATATGCATTAAACAAATCCATCTACAGTTTAGTTTGACATGATATTTTGTCAAAACTACTGATAGATTAAAACTAATTCTAAAATTATAAAACTAAATATTAATTCTTTAAGTCATTTATTTATAATCTCTTATAGTTTTTCTATTTCAGATCATTTAAATTGTAAAAACCTTTGTGTACCTTTCTGTGTACTCTTGAAAGTTGAATAGCTCTTTCTTTTTTATATCTTTGTTGTTGCTGTCTATTTTTTTTCCATTATTTCTTTTCTCTAATGTAGATAATTATAGAAATCAAAATTGACTCATTTTTATTTTTACAAGCTTCTATGTTGTTTTATTGAGTTACAGTTAGAATTTGTATTCTAATATGCTTATGTTAAGTTACTTTACTCTAAAGAATATATTTCATATACATTCGATCTGATAAAATGTAAGTTGATGGTATTTTTTTTAAAAAATCAATATTGTTGACTGAGTTATATTTGTGGTAGGTAAAATTGATTATACATTTCAATTGAAATCGAATAAGATTAAATAAATTTGGTAGCCTAAATGTAATTGAATACTTCTTTTGTAAGTTAAAGAAGCCAGTTTATTTTTGCAAAATAAATAATATAAGTCTCATTTTCAGCTTTGCAATTACATTTGAATTAAAATCAATTAAAATTATGTGGATACATTTTTACATGTATGGACAATAGATATTTGTATTGTTACTATTATTATTATTATTATTATTATTATTACTATTATTACTAATTTCGAAATAAATGAGTGAGTCATGAAATCTTAAATGATTGTGTTAATTAGATTTTTTATTATTCTCTTATTGAGGTATATTATGTCATGTGAAAATTATGACTGTATCTATTCACGTACATTACAATGAGTATAATGAAATTTACTTATTTTAATAAGATCAATTTTATTGTAAATTAATCTTAGTTAAAACGTTCACTGAACGCAAGAAAATTTAAAATTTGTATCTTGTTAAAATAAGCTCCTAATAAGTCGTATGTTTTAAAATTCCAATCTGTTCACTGAGTGTGGAAACAAAATTGTGGACCACTGAGCCGGCATCCAACGGTGCTGTTGTCTAACTTTGGTCAATCAACAGTTTTGTGCAACCTCATCCACAGTCTTCAGTGAGCATTGACTCACGCCCGAACAGGGTTAAACTGTACTGGTCATGTCTTCTCACTAGAACTCGGGGAAACTTCTTCATGGAGCTAATCACGGATGCTCACTTCTGATGAGTTCCATACTATGACGAAACGGTCGTCCAGTGCCTCCAGGTTTCTAATGGTGGTCTAACAATGATCGATTCATGATTTCAATGAAACTCTACGATCTCTACCAACGTATAATAATTTAAAAAATGTTATTTATTACCCCTTTTTTATATGTAACCGTCAAATCATAATCAACTTCACTATATACATGTAACTCATCACAAGTTTTTATCTATAGACTAAAATTTGAATTACACTTAATCCTGTTAAAGTCATAGATTCTATCTTATGACTGAAAATGTATTGACATAATTCCAATCTCAAGTGTAACTATAAAAAATTCCATTATTTGGACTTCATGATGAATCACAAATGGTTTAAAGGTTGGGCTGAGATTTAATTGTCAGTTATGAGGTAATGTGTACTACGTACATAAGACTTGTAAATATTACGCAGTAGATATGCAGCAGATTGTCGCCTTGAAGTTATAGACGAAGAGAAGATTGTTGTATTTGGATGCATGGTGCGATCAGAATGTGTTGAGGAACAGAAGATATGTGAAGGAAAACAGCCAAGAATACTCTTGTTTTATGATAGGTGTACACATTTTGGCTTGCTTTTCCCAACTGGGTTCAATATAGTTGTATCGGTTTCAAAAACATTAAATCGTGTTAGTAGTTACGGTGACAAATTAATTAAAAAGAAGCAAAATCATTTCCGAGTACACTTTATTCCAGAAATGTTTCTTTCTCATATTCCTTGAAATAAATAATTAATGATTGAATTAGTGGCATTTCACTATCCACCATACTCAAAAATGATTTCTAAACCATTTATTATTAGCATAACTAACTCAGTTACGTATTACGTGGATATCACTGCAACAGACTTTATTAACCTTTTCATCTGATTACAATTGTCCTATTTTCTTTGATCAGGAAATTTAAATTCCTCCAACATGGCTCAGTTTAGCAGCCAGTGATTTTAAGTATTGATATTGTGCTCTGCTGTAACCACTTCTACCTTTTTATAATTTACTCTGATGTTATATAACCGTAAACATTATGTTAAGTGAGCGATGCGGTATGATATCGATCTTTAAAATATTAACTTCTTCAAAGCATGCACAAGATTTTTAATTAAGAAAGTCAGATACAAATGCTTATAAAAGTTATACCAGTGCTTTTAAATGAGCTAACACGTATATCACTTTTATAAAAGTAGCATAAATAAATCTGTTCTCATTGTGATTTCTTGTTATACTATAGTTTAATTATGTTGAATAATTTTAGTTAACAATTAGTTTTTCCTGTACATTAATTAGGACTATTATTTCGCTCAAATTCCAGTAAGAGGTTGTATTAGTATGATAATGATTCTATTTTGTCATCAATTAAGATGGTTTGGATATATTTTAGGTATGCCCAACCAATGCCTACCTCATTGCATATATGTTTGGCGAAGCAGTAGTAGTTTGAAAATGAGCTATAAGTGGCTAAACTAATACGCATCATAAGTCCATCAAGTCATTTACTGATGGACTTTACCGTGTAAGTTGGTGCAGACTACCTAAGATCCATGATTATCATCGTAATGACTGGTTAGAGATATTAGATGATGGGACTTAGGATTGGTCGCATTGTCGAGGATTCTATCACTTCAACATTTGTCTGTTGTTTTGCTAGTGTAGTGTGATAAC